CAAAATCCCATTCCCTGGCTATTTTCAATTATATTTCCATTTCTACCTGGGTGGATTACTCTTTCCACACAAGGATGCTTCTCAAGGAATCGTGCCACCATCAATCCATTCTCCATGTGTTTCTTCATTCTCAGGGGCAATGTTTGGATTCCCCTCAGAGTGAGATAACAGTCAAATGGGGAAGGTATCCCTCCTGCACCTGTCCCATCCAGTCCATAAATCATGTAAAGTTCATATGATCTGGAAAAGAGTTATTGGGATTAAAATACATAAAACATGGAAGTAGTGGACTGGCCATTCTGGATGAGATATGCAACATCATAGAGTTCCTTGTCATTCATGCAGAGAGCACCCATGATGACATCATCATGTCCATTCAGGTACTTAGTGACAGAATGAAGCACAACATCTGCCCCCAGGCTCAGTGGATGCTACAGATGATATTGTGAAAAAAAACCTAAATGTCATTCATCAATGCTAACCCAATGAGAAGTGTGCAAGCACAGAAGTGAAAGAAGTGTGCAAGCACATTGAAAACTATGTCTCAACTATGTCTATGAATACCATTGCTTACTTCACATTTCTTCTTTCTAATTGATGGCAGATTGCCTTCATTCTAATTGCAAAGACTAGGTCTGGTTGAGAATTCTGATGATCATGGTCTTGTTGAGGTATTCTTGTTGAGGTATTCTTACCATGAAATAGGGAGTAGGGACAGTGTTGTCAACAATGACTTTTGCTTGCGATCCTTTCTCCTTCACTATGTCACATATAGCAGAGATATCAAACATCACCAAGAATGGGTTGGTCATCCCCTCCAGCCATACCAACTTTATCAGGATAATAGAATCACATATTCTAGACTTTACTGCAAAACATAATTAGGAAAACTGAAGACAGTCTCACTCCACTGACCTTAGTTTCAGGAGTGATGGATTGTCTGACTAGCTCCAAGTTGGTCATGTCAATGAAGTTAGTTTTAATCCCTCGCCTGCTGGCAACATTCCGTAAGATGTGAATGGTTCCAGCATAGATATTGTCATGGCATATGATTTCTCCACCGTGCCCACACATCCCATCTGCTGCTGCACTGATTGCTGCAGAGCCTGATGCAAACACCAAGGCTATCCCCAGAGGATGCAAGGTATCATTTTTAAATTCTTCTCACATAAGTTTAGTCTATCAAGGGCATGCAAGATGAAGGGAGAGACCGTATTTGGCCCCTTCGATGGCGGCCAGTCTCTTCTCCAGTGTTTCTCGGGTGGGATTCCCACATCTCCCGTACAAGTATCCTTCCTATGGTAAAACACAGAGTATTATAAAATTTAGCTCATTTTTCCCCAAGACCAATTCCTAGGGAATACGCTAAAAATAGCAGGCGACAGAAATTACTTTTTCATCAAGAATCATGATAGGAATGAGAAGAAGCAGAGTTCCAGGAAGCACATACCCTCGACCCAACCATGACAGGCGCTTCATATGACTACTATATTATTGGCACCCATGTGGGTATTAATATCAATCAACATTATCAGACTATTATTTTTTCATTCTTCATTAGTATCCATCCATTAGCCCGTGGGTAGAAAGTCACAGCATTTCTATCATTGATGAATTGACAATTGCACTTTTTGGTGAAAGACTAAAGGAAATCATCATGGGGCTTCCTCCATGAGATCACCCACGTGTAAGGAGCCCAATTTGTTGTCAAATGAGGTCAAATCTGTGGTGCTTTCATATCAGTGAATGAATGTGATGGCTGCATTTTTTTGTACCATTGGAAAGTTGAAAAAGGCCTTTTCTTTTGAGGGAAACGTTTGCGCTTCACCAAGGAAAGACACATTCACCATTTCCAGATTGACTGAGTTTCTGTATTCTTGAAAGGATCACAAGCTTTTCGTATAGAGGAATATGCAGGTATAACATGTTTGGAATTTTCATTCATTCCATAAAACAGAATCCAATTTAACAAATTTTCAGATGTGGGCTTCGCGGCGGACCTCACCAAGAAGTGGAGGAGCCACCCCCTACCGGACACCTCCCACCTCCAAGAGACCTCCCCCGGACCGGGACAAGGGGGTGGAGGCTAGACTAGATGGTGGACTAGAGGCAGAGTGGATGTGATCGTGTGACATTGTATAACGGTGTGTATTGTATGTCTGGATTGTATAGGGACCTGTAAATTATTCCCGTCGCCCTCGACTTATCAACTTCCCTCCTGCCTGGTGCCTGTAGACTGTACGAGTGAGTTGTATACATTCAATATATCCATTGTTATTGTTGCTGACCAGCCTAGTCCTTCCGAATCTCACCGGTACTTATCTAATTGGAGTCAGTCTGTATATAATAGCGCCCTCTTACGCACACGGAGAACACGCGATCCCATTCGGCGGCCTCGCCCACACAGAGAAAACTCTACCATGAACCAAGAGAAACACTGATACTGAGGCACCTTGCTCAAAATCTGAATGGCTTCTGGCAAGCTATGCAAACTTAGGAATGTTCACTTTTCATTGGAAAACCCTAGACTCATCAGTCTCAGAAACAGTAATTATGTATGATCCCAAGATCCTCGATAAATATGTGGGATCATTAAAAAATTCGCGTTTTTTCTGTAATAATAATGGTAGACCAGGATTTTTTTTTCTCTCAAAAGACCCTTTATTAAAGATTTCTAAATATAATCCCCATCAACTTCAATGCACTTTTTGAGCCTGGAGATCCAGGCATCGAAGCACCTCCGAAATTCGTTTTTTTCCAACCTTTTCAGCTCCTCGTTTACTGCCACCTCGAGTTCATCGCGCCCGTCAAACACTCTTCCGCGCAATTTTTCCTTAATTTTTGGGAATAACCAAAAGTCGCAAGGGGCGAGATCAGGGGAATACGGCGGTGGGTTGATAACTTGAATCCCCTGCTCGGCTAGAAAGTCCTCCGTCCGAGGTCGTCCCAAGACGGAGCGCCGCAGGCATTTCCTCCAGCATGACAATGCCCCGGCTCAAAGGGCCCAACGCACGGAGGACTTTCTAGCCGAGCAGGAGATTCAAGTTATCAACCCACCGCCGTATTCCCCTGATCTCGCCACTTGCGACTTTTGGTTATTCCTAAAAATTAAGGAAAAATTGCGCGGAAGAGTGTTTGACGGGCGCGATGAGCTCGAGGTGGCAGTAAACGAGGAGCTGAAAAGGTTGGAAAAAACGAATTTCGGAGGTGCTTCGATGCCTGGATCTCCAGGCTCAAAAAGTGCATTGAAGTTGATGGGGATTATGTTTAGAAATCTTGAATAAAGGGTCTTTTGAGAGAAAAAAAATCCTGGTCTACCATTATTATTACAGAAAAAACGCGAATTTTTTAATGACCCCACGTAGGACCCAATGGCCCCATTGCTTATGGGAGGTACCAGGCATGGGCCAAGCCAGAGAGGCAACCTTGCCCCCAGCTGACTTCTTTGATCAGCTCTGTTTCCAGTGTTTTAGTTCAGAGTGAAAGATTGACAGTTCAAGTAGATGAGAATTATATCTACAGTATGAAAAAAAATTATAATGCAGAATTCAAATAAGCTCATCATTTTATGGATTAAGAAGAAAGTTTGTCCTTTCATGCTAGCAATAGCAGTTGTCATTTCCACAAATCAATGCATTTTGAAAACACCAGAGTCATAAATATATTCTTTTCACGAAGGTCTTTCTTACAATAATAAAAAAAAAGCTTAACAAAACAGCAAAAGGGACTCACAGGACTGTCAGGATCTGCATATTTGACAAAGATGGTGGAAAGGGAGATGTGAGGTTCCACTTCCTTGTGGGTTGAAGCTGCTGGGTTGTGACCTGCATGGATGCACAGTGTCTCCATCTTGTCATCTGGAACTCTCATGCTCCAATCCCCCATGCTTTCTTTCTCCTTGAAAAGACTGTATGATGCCAGGAACAGACCTTTAGGACAAGCAAGTATTCCATGGCATTCAGAAACAAATTGAATGAAGAAACCATGAAATCTATTGATGAGAAGGACTCACCAATTCAGGAGCCAGAGGAGAACGAACTGATCCCACCTCTCACTAGATACAGAGCAAATGAGGGAAGGGCATGTGAAATGGTCTGGAGACCATCATTCCCAGATGACAGTCATGTTGACTGGAGTGAATGGCCTTGTGTGGGTCTGTTGTTGTTGACTGCATTCCACAGATTTTAGAGTCGTTCCATGACAGGTCAGGGATGTTCACATATCAAGGGCATTGATATGTGAAGATGCTCTCATGATCATCTCAATTTTAAAATTCCAGTATCTTTACTAATAGATGAAAAATGGTATTTAAAGAAACACCAGTGTCAATATTTCGATAAAAAGAAAGGGGAAAATATGTATAATCTAATAATATCTTCCACAGTAATGCAGTCCTTTTTTCTGGTTCCTTATCAAAATTATATGCAGAACATTAGAAACAATATCTGGAGGATAAAGAAAAGGAATCACCATTGTAACTTAGCATATAAGATGGGTCAGGCTGTAACATGAATGGGAAATCTGACAGGCTGTATCCTTATGCATTTTGAGGGGGAAAGCTCAAGGTTCTTCATGACAGCCAAAAGAAAACAAGAAAATTTAGGAAAAATTTGCCCCTGGAAATTTTATTTATTTATTAGGAAAAACTCCTCTTCTCTCACCACCATCTCCTGTAGACCTAATGTGTTCATCATGGCTCTTATGGATTTCAATGGTTTCTCCTGGGACCATGGCAACAAATAGTAATGCATATGATCTAATAGCAAATAGTTTTTAGACTATTATTTGGGCAAAATCTTTTTAGTCTTCCAATAATAAAGGCTACTAAACAATTAACGAGCTAAATGAAGACTTCAGCAACTGATTCATGAATTGCATGTTACCCTGCTCATGTCTCAGTATTCATTCATAATGACACACGCCCTTCAAACTTTCCTCTCAGAAATAATAATTAGCCATCTAATGACACATCCTTAGAAACGTGAAAAATAAATCTTTATGGATGCAGTTTACTGATAAAAAAAAAGAGGTCATATATAGGACATTACCCATGTGACTCCTGCCTCTGGACTTCTATTTTTATTGGGGAGAGCATTCAGAACAGAAAAAAAAGGATCTAGGGATGACAACATCATCACATTATGAGGGGAAAGGAGCAGTTTTTGAAGGCATCTTGTCCCAATATCCCAAACCAACCTGATTCTGACCCCAAGTGCTGGCAAGGGACAACCTCCTTCATGGATGTGATGAGTAGAGGATGAGCAGTCCCCTTCAAAGAATTCTATCATTTCCAGAGAGTGGAGGAAGGGAAAGCAATAAATGAAATAAAAAACTAGAAAGTGGAAACCAATTCACATTCTAAACCTCAGGATGGAAGAATGATTTCATTCAGGATGACTTCTCTACTCTGACCTGTCTGTAACAAAATTTCAGAGCACGTTTTTGGTCCAGCATACATGAAAGAGCCTCCTCTTAGAAAGAAATTAATACAGCCACCAAGATGGCTCATAGGATCAAGAAATAACGTATTTACTCCAGTATAGTGTGCCACCGTGTATAAGACGCACCCCCGCTTTTGAGGTCCCAATTTGTGTAAAAAAAAAAAAAAGATTCCCCGCGTATGAGGCGCACCCCCTATTTTGTAGCGAAAAGTGTCGGACAAGGGAGATGAATAAAGGGTTAAGCCGGTCTTGAAGTAGGTCGAACCTTGTTTCTTATTCACTGTCCTGACCTTTATCGAGGGGGGGGGGGGGGGGGCAGTCTCCCTAACGTTTGTTTTTTTTTCC